CTTGAGCTTCTCTGAATCAGCTGTCTAGAAAGAACCTGTTCTTTCTCTCCATTCCTCTTCCTCCAATGAATATAAATAGCTACAACCCCAAACAAAGTGTGATTTCATATACACAGCATGAAGTCTGTGTAAGTAGTCAAACAATGCAGAGAAAACTTCACAATACAGTGAAGGGACTTTGGCATGTTAACAGACCCGTTGTGCCTCACCCTGTCCATAAACACAAGAGCACAAGTGATTCAGTCCCGGCCCTGAAGGAAACTCATCCATATGGCATCACTGATAACATGCCTGTTAATATAAGGAGGTTTATCTGACTCTGTAAGACTGTTGGACACTTTCCTTATACCAAATTGCGTGGACAGGATGGATGCTAACAATCAGTTATGGAAAAGACTAGGTGGTTAATACCTGGTTTCACACAGCAGCTTAAAGAAATAATTAACTCTTAATATAGCTGTGAACTGAGCAAGGAACCCTATTTATTATCCCTATTTTACAGAAAAGAGGTAGAGAACCGAGGTGAGCTGTTTCCGTAGCTTGGTTAACATTAACTCAGCAGCAGAAATGAGGAGTCAGCTCTCAAGGTATAATAGAGTTCCCCAACATTTCCCCAAGGCTTTAATTAAAAATGACAAGACAAGGACACTGCACTCTTGGCCAACCTAATTTTATTCACGCCTCCATTGCATTCTTCTGTTCCAGAAACCATCCTGGTGCTCAGAACGCTTGATATGTGGCAATTTGAAGTCATTTTATTCTTCCTGGTCCAGAGCAGAGGAAAACTTGATGGCACATTTACAGCTGGTTGCATCGGTTGATTTAACATACAGGCAGACATGTAATTTGCAGGATAAAGGGCTGTCGTTTGGAAACCAGCAAGCTGCAAATGTTTTGTTCCTCTTATTAAAGAGGTTCCCTGCCAGGGAGAGGTTTGCAGGGCTCACCCATGGCACGGTTTGTGTGGGGCTGGAGCCAGAGCTGCCCTCCAGTGCTGCGAGCAGTGAGACCTGCCAGAGGTGGATGCTTCAGTGGTTGTGTCTTGGTCTGATTTCTCTAACGTGGGTTTTGGTGGTTAAGGCAGTCAGCTTCATTCTCCTGCTTCAAGAAGGGCAAATAGGTAAGGCTGCTTGAGTGAAATAAATATATAAATGAACCTGTGTTCTGCATTGCTGGTGTGGTTTCATGGTGACTTTGTGGCCCCAGGGTTGTAGTGCTGTTATATTCCTGAGCATGTCCCTAGAAAAGGGCTGAGTACAGCAGATACTGTTCCCAAACTGGCCCAGTGGCCTCTGCTGTGACTGTGCCCATGAAAAGCTGCAGGTTTAAGATACTCTGCTCTGTATAAGATGTTCCTTTTCTCAGTCCTTACCCTGGCAGTTGCTCTTTTGACATGAGGAATTCAGTTTGTCCTTCAGAAAATTGCTGATTTACTCCCTAGGCAATTGCATCCATGAAGTAGATATGAATGCTACTGAACCCAAATGTTCCTGAAGTCTGGCTACTAAATGATTTGGCTTTAAATTGCCAGAGGGGAGATTGAGATGAGCTCTTAGGCAGAAGTCAGGGTGCTGAGGTGCTGGCACAGGGTGCCCAGAGAAGCTGTCTGCCCCATCCCTGGCAGTGTTCAAGGCCAGGTTGGACACAGGGGCTTGGAGCAACCTGCTCTAGTGGAAGGTGTCCCTGCCCGTGGCAGGGGTTGGAGCTGGAGGAGCTTTAAGGTCCCTTCAACACAAACCAGGCTGTGCTGCAAAGGAGTAAAGGCCTCAAAACCACCCTGGTGAAGTGAGCCCAAACCTGACATTCCAGCAGTGAGGCACAGACCGCACTGAGGATGTATACATGCATCAGCTGCGTTTATCGGTGCATCAACAACTTTTGCAATCCAGGGCACGTGTTTAAGGCAAGCTGTTATAGCAACTGGTTACATGGATGGTACAGTACCCGAACACTGCACCTCAGTTACAGTGGGAATGAAAGTTGTTGGAAGTGTTTGCTCCTGCTTGCTTTCCTGCAGTGGGAACATGCTGCCTCCACCAGTGAAAGCCCTTGCTCAGCATCTGCTCAGCACGTAAACTCAGACAAGCTTTTCAAGTGCTGTTACAACCACGAGTTGATGCGTATCTCTTGGTACAATACAACATGTTTGTGAAAGGCCACATGATTAGAGTGTGTCAGGCTCTTCTTTAATTAAAGAAGGAATTTAGAGCTGGTAAAACAGCCAGACTGGCACCAGGAAACCAGGATTGTTTCTTTCATTGACATTCCAGAACTTAGTAAAACAATACCAATAATCCACCTTTTAGTAAGCAAACCCCAAAACAAAACTCCTCATTTCTAGGGCCCATTTAATTACTGACCCCTGTGTTGAAGTATTCAGCAAGGAATTTAATGCTCATTTTAAGGTTGTATGAGATTGGTGGTAAGGACATCAACCCACATGTTGCAGGCTTTGGGGATGGGTGATGCTATTCCCTGCCAGGACCCAAGCCCACATCCCACCTGTAGTGTAAAACAGGTGTAACTAACATTCTGCTGTACAATTAGTAACAGTTCAGTGCAAATGGATTAGTGGCATGCTGAAGTTCATCCTACCAGCATGCCATTTTTGTGATGCTTCTGTAACTGTACCATTAAGGGCAGGCAAATGCTGGTAAAACAGATACTAAAACTACCCTACAATTAACGTTTCCAACACTTGAAAAAGAGGGATTTGTACTTCAAATGTATCTATATCTTACATTTTAGATAATGCAGATACTTTGGGAGAGAGCTTGAGAATCACATAAAGTTTTCTGACTTGCAGACAGCACCGTAAGTCCTTGTTGCTTGAAATCCACTTGTCAGTGTCTAACAGCATCAGCTCTTGCAAACATGAATTCCAGCAGCAACAGTTGACATTTTTTAAACCAAAGAGATTTTATTTTCTAGGCAACAAAAGAAAACATCCAAGCAGTGATATTGACACATCTCCCTCGAGTAGAACTGAGTCTCTGTTAGCAGATTTCCAATGCAAACATGACACAGCAAAGCTCGACACTCCGGATTAAATAATGCTCATCTTCAAAATACTGCAACTGAGAAATACCCCAGAGAAAAATCCTTTTCCATGCTTGCAGAAATCCATCCAGGACACAAAGCTAAAATCTAAGTGTTGCTCCCCAAAGCCAATATGCATTTGCAAACATGGCAGGCAATAAATATGTATCTTCCACTTCTGTTTCAAAGCCACCCAAGCCAGTCACCAGGAACACCTCTCTGAGGTAGGTTTCATGTCCATTTTACAGATGGCAATGGTGAGGCTCAGCTCCTTGTCCAAGGCGTCTCGCCGCTTCCGTGTGAAAGCTGAGAATACAGCTGAGGATTGACAGTCTCTTGGTCTCATTCCTAGACAGTATTTCATCTCAAGTAGTTATAACACAGTGTAATCTTCAAGTTCCTTTGAACTGTCAGTTATTTCCTTAGGTTTGTAAGCATCAGCTTCTAGAAAACTGGTTTTAATGTCGGAGGTTTGGTTTTGTTTTGCTTTTACCTATGACAGACTGAAGGCAAAGTGGGGTTTAACACTGGAAGCTAAGTGGCTTTCTATAGGAAACTCCCAACAGTGCTAACATGTATTTTAATACTGAATTAAAAAGAAACCTGGTCCATAGTGATTCTGTCCTTTATATTTAATTATTCATGCCCTAATTCAGCAAAGCACTTCTGTAATTATGTTCCTTCTTTGATAAGACCCTCCTGCATTTGAAGGTCCAACTGGGAGCCTCTGCTGAGAACTTCATTGAAATGTGCCTTTTCTAGACAAGGTTTTGCTGCACCAGTTTAGGTAAAACTAGCTCTTAAGTTCCACTTTGGAAAGTGGATTTATTTCTGCCTCAGTCTGAAGATGCAGGTTCTTGCTCCCCATTTGTAAAAGTGCAAGGAAGGTAACTCAAAACAGCAACAGAAGAAGAGCAGGTTAAGGATATCTTAAAACTCATTAAAACAAGTATGTGTTGTAGGCATTTCAAGGAAAAAACCAAAATCCCCTTCAGTAATATGCACCTTTACAGCACCTTTTAAAAGGCCTCAACAGCACTTACAACTGCTGTGAGGCAATTTCAACTTCCCTGATTGTGAGCAGTCCGAGAAGTAGGGCAGTTTCCATAGCTTATTTTGTTCTGAAAGTTAAACTGCACCCTTCATTATCAGGATTAAAGTCTTGCCACTGAACAGTCATCGGTGACAAATCAAACACGTTAAGGCAGAATGCAGATGAAGAAACTTCAAGCCTCCCTTCTGGGTTCTCTGTCCTTCTAAAAAAAGGCAAAACTTTTTAGCAGGAAGGAGTGAGAACTATACCTTAAAGTGCTCGTTTACAGTGTTTGGAATCTGGTACAGCTTAGTAACACTGTGGACATGAATTTGGCTATACCCAAGTCTGCTTCAATGGATGTAACAAACTAAGTCACTTCCCTAGCTACTCTATTTCCCTCTTGCCAGGATTTCAGATACTATTGTGAATAAGAATCCAAACTATTTCAAGGAACATGCCTATGTTCTGATGCAGTGTAAACACCAGGGGGTTGATAGTTATTTTTCAAGCAACTAAAAACTACCTACAGAGGATTAGTAAGTTTATTCAACACTTAACCATCTACTTATTAATTTAAAGAAGGCTACCTTAAAGCTTAGAGGCCATTTCTTTCTCTAAAGCCATGACTTCACACAAACAATACAGTCTACTTCTGATGGTAACATAGTATAGGGCAGCTTTGGAGATACTCTTTCCATTTCTAAGTGTGCACCAAATGAGCAGTTTCCCCTGCAAGAACTGCTTGCATGTGCAGAGTCTATTCCTTAGCATAAGTAATGCTAATACGTGTTTCCCAAACCCTTCGATTAATTTAATTACCCTGAAAACAGAGAGATTAAGTCAGCAACTTAAAGGCTAAATTTTATGCTAGTGTTGAACGAGCCTGATTTAATATGTCTGCTCAGTTCACACAAAGTCTATTTCAGGAATCAAGTTCTAGCTGCCAGTGTATACCACCTGCCAAAGTACTATAAATTAGCATGCGAGAAGATACCTATTTCAAATCCCTTGGGAAAAATCCCTAGCCATAACAAACCTGTGCATCCTGGCCATCATTAAGTTAATTTGCTTTTCAAGCTCTGTGAACGGAATTTTAGGATTACATACAGCTTATCTGGGAATCCAGAATTTTATTCTGGATCGATGAGGTAGTCGATGTAACCATCCTCATGCAGATGTCACACTTCTCCGAAGTTGGTGTGTCCCGTCTCCTTGGCGTGTTCTCTGGCTTCCACTTGTCCCGTGAGTCCCTTCTGGCACACCATGCACCTCAGCGTGAAGTGATTCACATCCGTGAACTGCCTCTTCCGCCTGGCTTCATCTGCCAGTTCCAACGCTTGTGCAAGGACAATATCATCACTCGTGGAGAAAATGGTCTGGGGAGGAATGTCCGAGTCTGGGATTTTACGCTCAAGTGGATCATAATGAATCCCATCATAAATTAAAAGGACCCGCTTAGTGTAACCGGCATCCTCCCCAAAGCGGTCGATCCTCACTGTCTGCGTGTCCACCACACAGATTTCACACTGGTAAAACTTGGATAAAATGGACACTTCGATGGCTCCTCCCCAGGTCTCTTCCCTCCTGATCCAGTCACAATACTCCCTGTTGGTTTTCCCTAGAACTGCCTCACAGTACGATTCCGGATCGCTTGCTACTATCTGGGCTATAAGGCTGCGCATCTCTGGAGCACAGGCTGGGTCGTAGACGCCTCCTTCCACCACATAGTACACGCTGGTGAAGAGACAAGAGTTATCTGCTGGCACAACCCTCCTGGCGAGCACGGGCACGGCTTCCCTAACCGAGTTAGACATTGTTCTTTTTGCAAGCACAGGTGAGTCGGTCTTGGCTTTGGACGTATCCTCTTCAACAATCAGTGTATCACCTGTCAAACACAGAAAGAGGAGGAATTGAAGGAAAACACAGAACCACAGAACAGTTTGGGTTGGAAGGGAGTTTAAAGCTCCTCCAGCTCCAACCCCTGCCCCAGGCAGGGACACCTTCCACTAGAGCAGGTTGCTCCAAGCCCCTGTGTCCAACGTGGCCTTGAACACTTCTATATGCAGATGGAATTTAAAGGCACTGCTGGTCCTAAACCAGAACAACGCGGCTGCATTGTTATGACTGCGGATCGTGCTCATTCTCCCCCACAGCACCATATCCTGATGGAAAACCGCCTCAG